TGAATCTTCTAAGTCTTCTGAGGCGTCAGGTTTGTGTTTTGCTTTTTTTCAACACTGAGGAAGGATTCACATTAAAAATATATAAAGGGGGTAGATGAGATGGCTCAGGAGATAAACGCATCTGCTCTGCAAGCCTGGCGTCTTGAGTTTAATCTCCAGAACCCATGCAAAGGTGGAAGGAGAGAGCCATCTCCTCTTGTATGCTGTGTATACATGCCTACCCCCGTTAAGCTTGCATGTATGCACGCACACATGCAGCAGTCGGGCCTGTAGTCCCAGCATCTAGAAGGCTGAGGCAAGAGGATCAGGAGTTCTTGGGCAGCTTAGGTTTCATAGTGAGAAACCTATCTCAACAAAACAAAACAAAGAATGAATGAGCAAAAAAGATGCTTAACCTCATTAGAATTTACAGAAACACAAACTAAAATGACTGAACGATTGCTCCACCCCATTACGGTGACCAAGCCTGGTGAATCCACATCCCAGTGAAAATATGAAGCTATAAGACTGAGATATCTGTACAAGGGAATCGGATACAGTAATTAAATGAGACGTGGCTACACATACCGTCATGAGCAAAGCTCAAAAACAACAGAGAATGAGCAAGACAAACAATGGGGAGCCCATCGAGAGAACCAGGAAAATGGCTCAGTGGTTAAGGTTACTGCTTGTTCTCACAGAGGACCTGAGTTCAGCTCCCAGAACACACACAGAGGCTCACAACTGCCTGTAACTTCAGTTCCGGGAGATCCCATGCCCTCTTCTGGCCTCTGTGGGAATCAGACCCACAGGTGATATGCTTACATGCAGGCAAAATATTCATATACATAAAATAAAAATAAATATTAAAAAGAAAGAAAGGCAAGGAAACATCATAACACTCAAGGACTTAGTACCTCTATGGAGGGAATTTGGGAAACATACAGGGGCCCTTTAAAGATATTGGCTCAGGCTAGAGAGATGGCTGGGTGGTTATGAGCACTGACTGCTCTCCAGAGGACTGGGGTTCAATTTCCAGCACCCACATGGCAGCTTGTAAGGGTGTGTAAATCCAGTCCCTGGGCGATCTGACACCTCACACCATTGCACATAAAAAAGTTAGATACTGGCTCTATTTTCTGAAGTGATATAGTAGGCATATTGTCATTTATTCTTTTTCTCTAACTTGCATGTAGCCAGTTGTTTTCCCCCCCTCTCTTTTGTGGGCAGCCTGGCCTTTCCACACTGAACCCCATCCTTCCCGGAGTTAGGGAAGTGCCAAGATGGGAAATCCAGTGAGTAGCAGGATATGACCCATACTGAGGCCCATCTGGTCCCTGAGTCAGTGAACTACTTCAGACACTCAGAGGATGCCCTTCCGGCATCCACAGTGCCGCCTCTTCTGTCTGCATGGTCTATGGTCATTTTCTTCTTTCTTTCTTTCTTTCTTTCTTTCTTTCTTTCTTTCTTTCTTTCTTTCTTTCTTTCTTTCTTCTTTTTAGACAAGGATTTCTCTGTGTAGCTTTGGAGCCTGTCCCGGAACTCTCTCTGTAGACCAGGCTGACCTTGAACTCACAGACATCGCCTACCTCTGCCTCTCAAAGATTAAAGGCATATGCCACCACTGCCTGGCCTGTACTGTTATTTTCTACCCAGGTGTAGGTCTCTGTTTTTAGACAGTGTCGCATGTAACCCAAGCTGAAACTTCTGATATTCCTGCTTCCATCTCCAGAATGCTAGGATTATGGATATATGCCATAATACCTTATTTTATGTGGCACCGGAATCCAACTCAGGCAAGGCGAGACCTCTTCCTATTGAGGTTCATCCCTATCTAGAAGTGGGTCTTTGTGAGCTAGATGTAACGGATCTCTTTTAAACCATGAAGGTCTCAATGACTGAGGATAAGTAGTTTGTGGGGGACCTGGCCTCATCATGGATGCAGAGGAAGCTGCCCCACTGGTCTGAAGTATCTAATGGTCCTGCTGTGGAGCCCCAGGACTAGTGGCAAGGGAGGACAGAGAGGGCTGAGCCTGGCTGGGGAAGGCAGGCTTGGAAGGAACTAAGCCATTGGCACTGGGCCAGCGTGGAAAGTATGTGTGTGAGCTCATTGGGAAGCTGGTTTCTGTCCAGTCAGGCCTGCCTGCCTTCCAGGCCTTAGCTGTTTAGCCCCAATGCAGGTTGCCACTGGATCTCCCCAACTCCCCAAGACTGAGGGGAAAGAAAGCAGGAAGTCCTAGGGGTAGGACTAGGTCTCCTAAAGGAGATGAATGTAGATTGGAGTTGGGTCCAAAGTGTGTGCAGCACCTTCCTTCCTTCAGAACACCAGCTCCTGCTCCTGAGCAGCAAAGCGGTGGGCTGCAAATGGACTTCCTGTCTGGAGGAGTTTCTCCCATCCTCCTCTTCCCCACTCTGGTTGCCTCCACTCAACTGCTGCGTGGCACAACACGCAAGCACAGACATACTGACAGTTCCCCAGAACACATGCCCGTGAAGTTACCCAGCTGCTGGGTCCACACGGGAAGAGATGCTCAAGAAACCTAGTCAGAATATGCTCGCATAGACAAACAACCCAGTGAGGTTTGGGTTTTAGTGTTGTTTGGCAGTACCGAGGACCAAACTCAGTACAGCTCGTGTTAGACAAATGTTCTACCACTGAGTCCAGCCCTAGTCCCTGAGATGGGGCTTAAATTTGGACTAAAGAACTGTGACCTGCAGGGGCTTAGTTCCTCTGTCTGGGTCTCTGTTGCTCTGTACAGTGAAGGCCTCAGCAGTTGCTGTTCTCCAGCCTGCAGCGAGGGCAAGGAGGATGCAGAGGGGAAAGATGGCTGGGAGGTCTGTTAGACTGTGGGGAGAAGGCACTGGGAGAGAGGCAGGGAAGGACCAGCAGGCTAACCAGATTCTAGAGGGTGGCAATGCCCCTCTGCCCATACTCTCTTTTGGAGGGAGTGGCTCCTCCAAGGTCTTCCCTTCTCTGGTCCACCTGGCTGGCAGCCCAGGAGGCTATGGATCAGCTGGTGGCAGGATCCCTGGAAAAGGGGAGCGATGGAAAGAGAGGACCCCACCTCAGGCTGCGGGGTGTGCTGGTAGACAAATTGCTGCTCCTTCTTTGTTCCCACTCCAGTATCTTTTTAGACCAGTGTCCCCAGCGCCGCCCAGGCCTCCTCACATATTCCACTTGGCTCCTTCTGGCTGCCCCAGCGCACAAGTGCTGCTTTCGAATAAAGGAACTTGGAACCATAGAAACTGGGTCAGGCCCAGCAGACGAATCGGCCAGGCCAGTGCAGCTTGCAGGTCCTTGGGAGCCAGAGGGCCCTCGGCCTCCTGAATGGTGGCTCACTCACTCACATGACCGCTACAGCACCTTCCAAGGTCGCTGGGCAACCTCACGGGGTCCAGTGGGCAGGTCCAAGTGTATCATCAGCACCAGACCCTTCTGCCTCCGCCCCACGGTCCTGTCTGTGCAGAATCAATCTTCCAGCTCAGCCCCCTTTGTCTCCAGTTCTGCATTCCCATTTCTTCCCCTTGGCTGCAGAGAGCATCTTGTGATTCCAGAATCCTAGCCAAACAATTTCCTCGTGATGGGGAAACCGCACTCCAGCCCTGGGCTCCCCTCCTCTTCCCTCTGGCAGTCCCCCCTCCTGGGCTCTTCCACTGGCTCCAGCTGTGTTTTGCAGAATTCCCTCTGGACAACATCTGTAATTGCCTCCATATGTGGACCACAAAAACACAAAGGGCCATGAGCTCATCTTCTGAGTTTTTTGTCACATGCACGGACTTGACTACCCCTAGATGCCCCTGATTTCCCCCAGGGCCACCTTCTCAGTTCCAATCCCTTATGGTGACGGTGGTGTTGGGGACTGTGCCTAACTTCACTGAGACACACAGGCCCTGCCAAACAGCTGTTGGCAGGGGAGGCACAGGTGACCATGCTTGGGGTCAAGGTTGCTGGTTGGCAGGAAGGTTGGGTACCCCATCTGCCAAAGTAATCATGCCAGCCACCCTGCAGAGCAGTTGGCTAGAGGGGTGGCATAGGTGGGGCCAGGCTCTGAAAGGCAGGCTATGGAGGATCTGGGCAGAAGCCCAGTGAAGCCTGGGCTGAGGCAGGAAGGGAAGGCGGGAGAACGGGGCTGCTCTCCTCCAGCTGAGCTGACTCAGCAACTGAGTTGACCCCTCCCTTCAGGCTGGTTTCGGAGGAAGGGAGGGTCAGCAGCCTGGGAACCCTGTCTAGGGCAGCAGTTTCTATGGAAAGTGGAAACAAAGCCTTGTTATTCTACCCTTGCAACCTGAGGGTCCCGGGTCTCCCGGGCAGCTGATAAACACTGTGCCTACCAGCGGTAGGACACACCTTGTAGAGGGGGCTACCTCCTCCCACCTTCCTGATCTTCTAATCCAACATCAGAGTCCCGGGCCTGTAGGAACCACCACCTTTTCCTCTTTTTTTTTTTTTTTTTTGGCAGGGTCTTACTGTGTAGCTCCAGCTGGCCTAGAGCTTTCTTATGTAGACTGGGCGGGCCCAGCAGTATGCCTGCCTGTCTCCAGAAGGGCTGAGAGTACAGGTGTGCATCACTATGCCCGGATTTTAAAGACCCTTCTTGGCTCTTTGGGCCTGTCTGTCACTGAGTTTCAGTCTAGTGTGACCGTGGGAATACCCTTGCTGCGGGGACAGATGTATGAGCAAACTCGAGTGTTTGTGGCCAGATCACACGGCAGAATAATGCAATTTAGGAAGATTTTCCAAACAGTCTCAGCTTGACCACTTCCTCCTATCTCTGGCAGCTTTGACATGCAATGGTAGACCTTTAAGGATTTGGGGGAAGGACGCTGGGTTCTGCCAATCACTCCTCTAACCTCTAGTGGGGCATGCCTTTCTCCCAACTCCAGCTCTTAAATCTCACCGGTCCACTAAGAATAAATACTTATGACCCATGCTAAGCCCCCTACAACATGGGAAATGCTCTTCTCAATGCCTGCTCTTCCTAGCTCTGCTTGGCCACATCCAATTCACCCCTACACCAAGCTATAGTCACACAAAGAATGTGAAACACAGTTTATTCTTCGTGGAAAGGTTGAACAAGGTCAAAAATGTCCTTAGAGGGCACTGACCCAGCCCCGCCCTGCAGGTTTCTGAGGTCAGTTGCCTCTGCCCCCCTCCCCCACCCCTTCCCCCATGCCCCTTGTTAACAAAAAGGAACGATTTGAATGGCATTCATATATAATAATTATAATAAAAATATACATTAAACAAAACAAAAAAAAACCCAAACAAGACAGATATTTAGCTGGGCTTCCAGCACCGTTCACCCCGTTTTCCCTGGTCCCAAACCCCACCCAGACACTCCTTTTCTCTCACCCCCTCCACAGGGTGTCACTCTCCCTCCCGAGTCCCCAGTACCATGACCACCTTCAGCTTCAGCGGCTGAAGGAGACTTTCAAATGGGTTGGTTGGGTGGGGAAGAGGAAGGGCAGGATGCAGGTAAAATGGGCTGAGGAGTGCCTGCATCAGGAAAGGGAGGGGAGCCCACCCTACCCAGGAGCACCCAGACACCTGCCTCACTAGTGCAGCGAGGCAGACTGAGCAAGGCTAGGCCACTGCCAGCCTGGTCTGGTCTCTACGGAGTCCCCAGTCCTTGTACTACAGGCTCTTCACTCCTGTAGCCACCCTTATCCTCCCCGTCCACAGTCAGTAAGCAAGGAGACAAAAAAGAGGCCAGTGCGGCTTCCTTAAAGCCCTCTCTGAGAGACCCAATACAATGTGCACGCTCCTGGGTGCCACAGTGTCATGCATGTGCCCTGCAGTCTGCCCAGACTCCCGGCATACACTGCTACCACCACACCTCATTTCCTGTCCCCTCGGACTGCTGTCTTTGGGTCCCAGCCCCAACAACTTGCATGTGAAACCGGTCTTTTTCTACTCTGAGCCATCAGGCGCCTTCCCCCATGTTTCAGACCCGCTGTCTCCCCTTGACCGCTCTGTACCTGGGCCCGTTCCCCCTGCTTTCAGCTCTTCTGACCTTGAACTGGACATCCAAGGCTATTCAGTAGGGGCCAGTTTGCCAAAAGTTTCCTCAAACCCATTTAGTCCTAGATGGCTCAGGCTCCTTGGATGTTCTCCAGGTTGGGTTGGATAGAGGCAGATCTTTGTGGAGAGAAACTTGGCTGTTCGAGCCACCAAGACCCTCATTGAGTGATTTAAAACAAAACAAAACAACAACAAAAAAAAACCAAAGTCTTTAGGGTAGCCGAGCAATCTTTCCACCTCCAACACACACTCTCAGGTTCCTTTTAGTCAGTGGTGGGAGGGCTGCCAACTGGGTACACTTGGTACTTAGAGGGCTCAGATGCCCAGAGCCTCCTGAGGTCAGAGTTCAGAGATTTAAGGTATGCAGTTAGGGGATGGAAAAGAAGCGGATGACCTCATTTGGCCTTTGCCCATGAGGTCAGAGGGTCTTGCCTTCAAGTGCAGAGCTCTGAAAACATTCAAATAGGGTTGGACACACACCAAGCTGTGAGGCTTCCCCTGAGGGCCAGAGGCAGGAAGGGACCACCTTCCTGCTCAGCCCTCAGGGGACCCACCTATGGATGAAGCAATGCTGGGTGAGGGTAAGAGAGGCCAATTAGGGACTGAGAAGGGAGGCCGAAGGGAGAGGGCTCAGGATGGGTGTGAGCAGCCCACCTGCCACCACCTGCTGCCACTGGCCTTCAGGGGCAAAGTTCGTGTGGTAGAAGCGGGTGGGCCAGCGGTGGGGGTCAGACCTTGTCCAGCAGTGAACGCTGGCAGTAAAGCAGTCGCTTGGGGGTCCCATGGCGCCTGAAGAAGAAGACTGCAAGGCCCACTGCCAGCACCAGGAGCAGCAGCAGCACAGGCAGGACCACGGCGGCTGCGCTCACTGCTCCGCTGCCCTCCTCATCCACCTCAATGATGATCACCTCTGTCTCTTTCTCAGTCCCCTCATCCGGGCGGCCCCCTGAAGGGCAGCCCATCCAGTCCCGCAGAGCTGACTTGGGGTACCCTGGCTCTACTTTCAGCTTCTGGTTGTTGAATTTCCAGTATTTGTTCCCCTTGTAGAAGTAGGTGAAGACTGAAGGGCACCGAGAGGACGGCGAAAGGTGACAAGAACCAGGATGGGCAGAGTCCATAATGGCCCCAAAGAGAGAAAAGAAGAAAGCACGGTTAGTGTGATGGGCAGGTAGGCTTACCTCTCAGTCTTTTTCAACGTTTGCTTCCTCAAGTGGAGAATGGAGCTGATCACAGCACCAGGTTGGACAAGTGACCAGACCGAGGGTGGTATGACATATGCAAGCATCATCAATGTTTTCCACTAGACCCTGTCTTTCTTCTCTTCCTCGGCTCCCCGTGTCCTTCTTTCGCTACAGTTTCCCTTGCCCACTCACCTTCATCGCTCCCCATGAATGACCCTCTGGGAGACTCAGGGATTCCTTCCCAGACTTTGATGTTTTTAGGGTACTCGCTGTCCACTGCTCTGAACTCCTCATTGAAACGGTAGTACCTGTGGGAGGGGAAGAGAACCCGAATCGGCTGGATACTGGGCATGCCCTCAGAGGTTAGCAGACCCGTGACAGAGTGCACTGGGGAACAAAGGGTGGCTATGGACATGGTTGGGGACAGGGGTTTTGAGTAATGAGGGCCTGCAGCTGAAAGAGGCGGAAGGAGGAGGTGGAAGGGAGGGTCCAGGCTGTAAGGAGCCACCAGCAGCCCTTAATGACAGTGCCTGGTGGCTGGGGTGGAGACACAGTGCTGGGGGCAGGAGGCATCAAATGACCAGGTCTGAAATGGTGACCGGGTCACATCCCACGCACGCAGCACTAAGAAAAACTGCCTATTGCTAGGCAACATAAAGACTCAGTCAGTTCCAGGGCAACACACCTTGTGGGGGAAAGTGGGCCTTACTTCAGAATTTGGGGATTAGGATATTTGGGGTGGCAGTGGAGAGGCTTGGGGGGAAGGGTTGGAGATCTTACTTATTTCCCCTGAAGAAGTAGGTCTTTCCATTGGGCATCCAGAAGAGAGCTGCATCAATCTTGTCAGTGGGCAGCCCTCGGCCTAGCTCCTTAATGTGCTTGGGGTATCCAGGTTCCAGGGAAGCCTCATCAAACACCCAATGCTTATCCCCTGGGAAAAGAGAGAAGGGAAGAATCTGGACTCAACTTGACTCTGATGTCTTTGGGAATGAAGCGAAATCAGCTCATTCACGGAGACCCTCCAACTTCCCCAGTTCATGAAATGCCTGGTTACCTTTGAAGAAGACAAATTTGCCATCCTTTCTCTCATAGGCGGTATTGATGGATGCAGGCAGGCCCCTCCAGAACTGGCCAATAGGCATTGGGTAGCCATCCATCACTTGGTTATTCCTCACCCGCCAGAACCATCGCTCCTAGAAACCAGTAAAGGTGGGATCACACTATGCTTTGTTCTTCTGCAGCCCCCAAAGCACCCGCCCCCACTGCTTTCAGCCCTGTGTCTAGCTTTCATTCCTCCTGTTACTGTTGCCACCCGGCTTCCTTGCTGAGAGTCCTTCTGCCCCCTTTCTCCTCTTCCTCTTCCTTCTTCCCTTTCGCTTCTTCTGGTCCTCTCACCTTGAAGACAAACATCTCTCCTCGGAGCATGGCCACGGTATCAAAGTTACCATCACAGATGTTAGGTCCGTAGCTGGGGTTTCTGGGCTTATCAGGGACAGAGGGCCGAGAGGTAGTTCTGGGTTGAGGGGGCATCTTGGTGGGAGACCCTGACTTACTCCCTGAGGAAGAGAACAATAGGACACTTCAGATTTTGAGGTAGAGGATAGAAGGATAGACAGATAAACAGACAGCACCCTTAGAAAGCACGAAGAGAGTGCGGGTGATCTAGAGATGGCTCAGTGGTTCCAGCACATACTGCTCCTGCAGAGGATATGAGCTTTTTTTCTATAATTTTTTATGATTTATTTAGCTTTATTTTATGTGCATTGGTGTGGAGGTGTCAGATCCCCTGAAAGTGGATCTACAAACAGTTGTGAGCTGCCATGTGGGTGCTGGGAATTGAACTCGGGTCCTCTGGAAGAACAGTTAGTGCTTTTAACTGCCGAGCCATCTCTCCAGCCCAGAGGATATGAGTTTTGACTCGCAGCATTGACATCTGGGGGCTCACAACTTCTAGAACCCCACTTCTAGGAAACTGGATGTTTCTGGCCTCTGTGGACACATACACACCTCTAATAAAAACAAATACATATTTTTTAAGTGTGAACAGATTTTTGGAGAAGGTTAGCTTGGGTATGTTCAAAAGGTATTCCCGCCAAGTGGGAGCTGCGGAGCTGGCGATGCGGCTGACTAATTGGGAGCACTTGGCAGTTCCTACCGAGGACCCAGGTTTCGTTCCCGGCACTCACAGGGCAGTTTCTGGAGATCCAATGCCCTCTTCTGGCCTCTGTGGGCACCAGGCACATACGTGGTACATGCATACATATATATTTGCAATACACTTATACAAAAGAAACTTAAAAGAGTCGGAGCTAAGAGAGGCAGTGAAAGGTGGTGCGTATGTACGTACAGACCTCACGGCACGCCGTACAGACCTCACGGCACGCCGGAAGGAAAATGCAGACCAGAGAGCAGAGGCAGAGGAGCAGGTACGCGGATGGATAACTTGCCGTAAAGTTGCTGGATGCCGCGGCGGTCATCGTCAGGCAGCACAAAGTTCTCTGTGTCCATCCACTGGTAAAAGGGCGCCATGATGGCAGAGGGGTCATTGGAGTGCTCCAGGCCGAGAGCATGGCCCAGCTCATGCACAGCTACCAGGAAGACGTCATTCCCTGGAGGGATGGAGATGGTGAGAGTTTGGGTTCCTTCTTAGGCTCCCTGCTTCCCCTCCAGAGACCTCAGGCTCACAGATAAGCCTGCCGGTCATGTTTCCCACCTAAAGTGACCAAATCTTGAGGGTCGGTTTCCTGTTTGGTTCAGTCAGTACCCTCTTCGGGGTGGGGTGGGGTGGGGTGGGGCGGGGCGCCCTGGGGCAGGATTCCAATGCCAAGAAAACCTATATTGTGGATCTTAGTGGCCTCTAAAAGCTAGGTAGGCATCATGTTTGCCTGGAGAAGTGGGTGAGAAGGAAACTTTTAAGTCTGTGATTGGCAAGGCAGTGGCAGCAGACCAAATATACAGACATAAATAGCTTAAAATGTAATTCCTGCTTTCACACTTGGCTTATGTGGCTAGTACTTAGCTGTTGTTGGTTTTTTAGTTTTGTTTTTGAGGCAGGGCTTCTCTGTGAAACAGCCCTGGTTATCCTGGAACTAGCTTTGTAGACCAGGCTGGTCTTGAACTCACAGAGATCCTGCATCTGCCTCCTGAGTGCTGGGTGGGATTAAAGGCCTGTGCCACCATAGCTTTGCTGCCCCGGCACTTAGACTTCCTTTTTAATTTTACTGATTTATGAGACAGGGTCTCACTATTGTAGCCCTGGCTGGCTGGAACTTACTATGCAGATTGGGCTGGCTACTACATACTGCTAGCTTAGCTTCTGGAAGGAGACCCCTTGATAAACAAGGGACAGCACACTCTACCCAGGGTGGAACTCAGGATTCCCTTACTCACCATTTAGGTCCTCATTTTGGACAGTCCAGGGCTCAGCAGAATCAAAGTGGGTGTCCCCGCCGATACTGGGGCCTGGGAAATAGGCATGAGCCAGGAAGCCCCCTTCACCATCAAAGGGTGTACTGTCACCGTGGAAACCCTCAGCAAACAAGATCATGATGTCAGCCTGCTTCTCATGACCCTCTCGGATGTAGGCATAGGGTACTTCGCGGAAGCGCAGTGGCGTGGCACTCTCCCATACTCGGAAGGCCTTCCTAATGGCCTCGAATGTGGCATACTCGCCCACCTTGGGGGTGTAGTTCTGGATGCTGACACCCAAATATGAGGGTAGAGAAGGGAAGCATTAGGATAAATGAGGCAAAGTTCCCTGTGCTCTCCCAGCCCTGACCGAACTGCCCGGCCACCTTGCCAGACCTGCTGTCCCTGCTACTGCATATTCGATGTCTCAGCCCCAAGAACCAAAGGCTTGGGGGTGTTGGCACTAGTGTATCCCCCAGATGGCTGCGCTTCTCTGCAAGGTTAGAGCTATTTTCCTTCCCATTCCCTAAGAATAGAGGGGACTAGAATATACGACCACCCCGCCTCTACCTTATACAATTGAGAGGGAAGGGGAGTGGATGTGAGAACAATCTCTAGCAGTCAGACTCACCAGAAAGTGATCTCGTTGTGCTGCCATTTGAGGCCCTGAATGGCATAGCGCTTCCTTCGAACATTGGCCTTAATCTCAGTACCAAACTTATCTGGAACACCACAGCGAGGGCGCCTCATGGCCCTGGGGAGGAAACATCGGGGTCAGTACAGTACATACAATAAAACAGCTCCGGGTGACGGTGGTGGTGCACGTCTTTAATCCCAGCACTCGGGAGCAGAAGCAGGCGGATCTCTGTGAGTTCGAAGCCAGTTTGGTCTACAGAGTGAGTTCTGGGACAGGCTTCAAAGCTACAGAGAAACCCTGTCTCGAAAAACCAAACCAAACAAGCAAACAAATAAACAAGTGAGTCTTCAAGGGGAGAGAGTGGAGCGCCACAGGTGGCCCAGGGTCCTGGCCTCTGCCCCCAGGTCAGTGTTGGGTAAGGCTTTGTATATGCCAGTGTAGGGAAAGGCCAGGCAATGATACCAATGGGAGACGGTTGGGACACTGGCACAGGGACAGGTTCAAGTGGCAGCATTTCTGGTATTCAGTGTGCTCAGTGGACATTAGGAACTTACTTCAAGGTGTCCGAATCAGCCTTGCCGGTCACTTGCAAACCATAGAACCTTTGCATGGCGGCAATGGCAGCTGAGAGTGACTGGGGGGAGCGTTGTGTGTGGGTACGCAGGTCCCCTGGAGGTAGGTAGCCATACTGCTGCAGCCAGGCCTGTAGGGAGAGGAATATGGCTTAGAGAATTTTCCACTTGGTCCAGGGGACTCACCTGCCTCTCCACAGTGCCTGGCAGATGTCCTTGGCTTAATGAGAAATATTCTGGTTCTGCCGGGGACTTTCAGGCTAACGTTTGACTTATATTGATCTATAGCCTAGATCCCAGTATGCCTGTCCCCAACGGTGATGGGGAGCAGACAGCTATAAGGTTGGAGAGCCAATGGTCCTGACTGGTTATAGCACTCTAGTAAATGAGAGCATTAATGGACTGAGAGAGTCTTAGGATGTTTTTGGTTTGTGCTTACATGCATGTGGAGGTCAAAGGTCAACTTCTGGTGTTTTCCTTGGGAGCTGTCCACCTTGTTTTTTAGGCAGGGTCTCTCCCTAGACTCTGTGGCTCACCTATTAGGCCAGGCTAGATGGCCAGCAAGCCTCAGCGAATTGCCTGCCTCTGCCTCCCTGGCACTGAGATTACAAGTATGTGCCATCTTGTCTGGCGTTTGACATGGGTGTGAGGGTTTAAATTCAGGTCCGTAAGCTTGCCACAAGCATTTTACCAAGCCCCGGCCATGCTCTAGAATGTCTTCTTAGAGCTGGCATTTCCCCCAGCACTTTTCTCCTCTGTCAGTCCTTGCAAGGATGGCATGTCCCATCTGAAAGTGAGTTATGTCCACAATAGGTAGAACGGTGGAGTCGAACAGGGTGAGGGGGTTCCTGCACCAGAGGTGCCACACTTCTAGGGCCCTCAGCAGAAATCTTTTGACGGAGTCCAGGAAAGGAGCCAGGGTTGAGGCTGGATGCTGACGGGAAAGCTGGGCTCTTTGGAGGTGGTAGCTAATCAGGACCCCCAAATAAATACTCTATGACCTAGCAATCTAGGCTTGGAAAGTCAAGCAAGGCATGTTGTGTATGGACTATGAAGATGCTTGGATTCTTTTGTAGGGAGCCATGATTCAGGTAGAGCTGGGCCTACTCCAGTTTTACCTTATTTAAGGAGTTCAGAGGGGGGCTTCAAGTTGCCTAGAATGGGCATTTGGAAGGGAAGGGGTAAAGCTGCCTTGGGTCCTGCATCTCCTACCTGTGGTCATGAGGGTGGATTTATCTCCACATGACGCTTCTCCATCTGTGCTAGGCATGGGTGCTGGAGCAATGCTCTTGTGTAGGGTCTGGGGGTGATTCAGGAGCAGCTGACTTAGGACCTGAGCCCAACAGGGGCAGGAATTGCAACACAGTTCCAGGAAGTGATTCCCCTCAAGGCTGACGGAGTTAGGGCCTGAGTTGTAAACAACCCAGCCTCTCCCGTAGCCAATCAGCTCTGGCCAAACTTCCCTAGCTGTCACCTGTTAATCAAAACCCTTCCTAAGGGTGCTGGAGTTTTTAACCCCTTGTATGTCAGAGGGCCTAGCAAGGTGGGTAAGTCCCGAGCTGTTCCCTCATATCTGAAGGCTTGCCCTGACCTGTGCTGGTTGATGCCATAGACAGTGCCCTCCTGAGGCCTGCTGTGGCCTGTGCCAAGTATGCAGGAAACTCCCTTTGCACCTAGTCTCACCTGTAGACTCTGACCCCTGCTAGGGTAACAGCTGCCACAGGGCTTAGGGGAGGATGGGAGTGGCCTGCTCCCTCCCCCCATAGCTGGAAGTCAGGAGGAGTGGAGGGTTTTTAGCCAAATAGAAGGAATGCTCCTACAGGAGGATGGAGAAACTGGTGGGAGAAACATCACAGCCAGGAGCTCTGGGTAAATCCCTTTCCTGCGGGCCTTTCAAGAGACAGGCAGGTCTAAATAAGCACACTCATAAACCCTGCCCTGTACCCTGTGGAGAAAAGTGGATGCTTTGTCAGGAGAAGGACTCCCCGGAAGAGTATCACAAAGCCAGGAAAGAAGGCGTCCCCATCATTTTTTTCCTTTCCCGGACTGGGCAAGTTTCTTTCTCCATCTCACAGAGCCAGGCTCTGAGCAAAGCAAGAACCACAGAGTATGAGCCTGGAACCGCAGGAGAAGACTCTGGTGTCTGCGGCTGCGTGGGGGAAGGGTGAAGCCCCAGACGCACTGTCCCTGAGTAGTATGGAGCTATGGGGACCTGGTGAAAGGGACCGACCGAGCTGCCCGAGGCCAGGGCTGCCTCTCCCCTCCCTTCAGCTTGGCCTGGAGAAGGAACAACTATCTTGGGTGGCAGAACCTAGTTGGCTGGCATTGTCTTGATCAGTAAGTGCAGGGTATTCCCTATGAGAAAGTCAAGGAACACCTCCCACTGTAGGAGGCCAAGAGGGTGGGGGCTCTCCAGCTCGGCAGCAAACCTTGGATCCTGGCCTCTTCTGGGCCTGCCCCGCCCTCCCTCAGCTTCCCACCCTACTGTGTTCCAGAAGCAAATGGTGGTTCTGGCTCTGGGACGACCATGACCCACTTAAAGAGGAGCCAGGGCTACCGCCCCTCCCCTAGGGAACCTAGTGGAAGTTGGGGAGGAGAAAAAGAAGTTGGCAGTGGGCAGTCTTCCAGGGGTTCCTTTTGTTAGGCACTCTCTTTGGGGCTAAGATGGGAGCTTCAGGCCTGGGAAAGTCACCTCCGCTCTGACAAATGCATTTGGTCTCCAGTCTCAGAGAGGATTTTACTCTTTCTAGTCTCTATGCACAAGTGTGGCCCCACTTCTAGGGTCACACTTGTCCCTTCAGCCCCAGGTCTCTTCAGGGGCACAGGCAACGTGTGCCCCGTGTGCCACCCCCCACCCCAGACATCACCTCGGAGGGTGTGATCCAGCCTGGGCCTGGGACTAGGGCAGAGGGAATCAAATCAGACCATATCCTGCCATTTGGGCCCTTCCCTGCCCTTCCCTACCACACCCAGGTCCTTACCAGGATGAGTGGGTTGGATGGCCCAAAATAAGAAGCTGATTAAATCCATCTCCCACCTTCACCCCAAAATAAGAGAGGGAGGGAAAACTTCCTCAGACTACTCCCACGCTGCTTCCTTCAGGACCGGGGTGGGCTACAGTCATGGGAGGGTTGGGGATGGGGGTGGGGGCGCCCAAGCAAGTCGGGACGCTTGAGGGTGACCCAGGCCCGCCCTCAACTCACACTCACTCGTCGAGCAACTCCACCCCCCCAACTCTCTCCGCAATTAACTCAGAAAAACATTTAGCACCAAAAGGCCCCCCCCCCCAGCAAGGCGCCGGTTAGGGTGAGGACGCGGGGAGGTGGTGGCCAGGCTGAGCCCCGCGGCTCACAAGAAGAGCTTTGTGTGCTCGGAAGTTCTGCCCGCCGCGATCCTAGACGTCAGGGCCCGAGGCCCGCACCGAGGGCGGTCCAGGGGAGGTGGGTAGCGATCGGCCGCCCCCGACGCCCCACTTGGTACAGATGCGCCCGTGCAGGGCCGCGGGCACCTGAGCGCTGCCAAACTGAGGGAACAACTCGCGTATGACACTGGCCCGGACGGCGTGGGGTTGGAGCAGAGTCCAGTGTTTGTGAAGCTCCTGCCTGGTGCGCGCAGAACCCGGGAGAGCGAGGCCCGGGCCCGGCTGCAAAGTTCTTCCAGGGAAGGGAGGAATGGGAAAGAGGAGGCGGCGGCGGAGGGGTTTGGCTGGAGGCAGGCAAAAAGTTGGATCGACTTGCAAGTTTGCAGAAGAGGAGGGAAAAGAAAGGCCGGAGCAGCAGAGTGGACCCCCCCCCCAGCTGGGGGGGGGTTCTCAGCGGGGCTGTCCCCTTGGAGACCCCCGGACTCGCCTACCCGGCGGGCGCAACCCCGGGAAGGGCGGGAGGAGCTCACTTACTTCGGGGCTAAAGTTGCTGCCTTGGGCCCAGCCGAGGGAGGCGAGCGTGGTGCCGAGCGTGAGCAGGGGGAGCAGGAGGCTGCGGGAGGGTCGAGGGGTGGGAGACATGGTCCGTGGCGTCGGGGCGCCTGGCGGTGCGGGCTCCGCGGCGGGGCCCACGCCCTGGGGTCGCGCCGCCGCTCTCTTTGGGCGCCTTTGTCTTCGGAAGGCACAGGATTTGGATTCCTAGAGGGCAGCCGGCTTGGAGGTGAGGGGATTGCTCCTGAAAGTGCCTGTTTGCTCTTCTCTTTTCCGTTTTTTGATCTTTCTTCTGCTTAGTCGGCGAACTGAGTTGGAAGCCTTCTCTGCTCTCTCCTTTGGTCCCTCCCTTCTCCCACAGCCTCTCCTCCGCCCCCGCCCCAATGCCCTCCTTTCCTGGTGGGGACGTGGTTGTTTCAGCCTGAATCCAATTACAGCCAAGAGCAGGAGAGAGGGTGGGGGGGGGTGTCTTTCTGTGGTGCAGGCTGCCATCTGCAGGGGTTGAGGCCACAGCTGACAACTAACTAGGAGACTGGATGTCCCAGGGGACGGATGCGGAAGACTTTCTCTTCCTAAGCATTTTTTGGGTGGCCTGATTCCCGTAGTATTCAGCACGTCTCACTTCAAGAGTGTTAAGTGTTGGGAGGTCTGATGGCTAGGGACGGTGGTGACATGACATTTTCAATGCCTCAAGAGGAAGGGGCATTTACTAACAAGGGGTGTGTGTGCTGAGACCTGTGGACAGCCTCTTTCTGCCCCAAACTTACACTGTAACAGAAGCCATTATCAAACAAAAATCACAATTACTTTAAACTTGGGGGCCCACTCCTTTACTAATGGCTTTTGCAATCTAGCTGTTCCATTAAGTCTTTACACTGGAGACCGTTTCTTAGAGTACAGCTTCTGTGCTGGTGGACTGGGAGAACAAAAGGAGAGGTATGCAGGGGAGGGGAGGACAGGCTGAAGCTGGCAGTGAGAAAGGCAGATAGATAAGAGGTTGAGAATTAGATCTGGAAAAATACCAAGCAGTGGGACAGAGGCAGGAAAAGAGTGGGAGACAGAAAACTCGACCATCAGCGAAATGTAAGATCCAAGAATTGCGTTTGGTCAGCGAGAGGAAGGAGGTAGTGGGGAGAGGAAGGGAGGGAAGGCAGTAGAGGGAAGCAGTAAAACAGAAGGGTAGAAATCAGGCCAGGTGGGAAGCTCCTGAAATCCACAACTACAGACCGGGTTTATGGTGGGAAGATGCAAGCCCAGCATCCAGTACTGGTGGGAACAAAAGTCCTTGCCTTCCGAATCCAGGGGAGGGCTCATGATCAGTGAAATCAGTGGCTGCCAGGCAGTTTCCAGGAGGTGCACAGTGGGTATCAGTGCCACAGGGGCATTGTTAGGGGTGAGGAAGTACAGAACCCTCTTCAACCAACCTCTGGAATTCAGTCAGAACAGAACTCCTTCAGCAGAAGATTAAATATACAAGTTCAATTCTTCCTAGGTCAGCTTTCCAGAGTGGGTGCCTCCTGAACCGTGTTTCTGGACACTAGTTGATGGTTAAGAGATTTCTGCCAGGTATGGTGGCACATGGTTTAAACCCAGAGGCAGGCGGATCTTTGGGAGTGCAAGGCAGCTTGGTGTACACGGCCAGTTTCAGGCCAGTGGAGTTATAGGCAGACTCTATCTCTAAAAGAAAAAAAAAAATGACCTCAGATGGGTAGCCTTTCTTTTTAAAAAAATCTACAGCAAATTTCCTCTTTATTTTTATTCTATGTGCATTGGTGTTTTGCCAGGGGTGTCAGGAAGTTACAGACAGTTGTGAGCTGCTGTGTGGGTGCTGGGAACTGAACCTGGGTCCTCTGGAAGAGCAGTCAGTGCTCTTAACTGATGAGCCATCTCTCCAGCCCCTGGGAAGCCCTTTTCATCAAAACATTTATTGAATGCCAACTGCACACAAATGAGCTGTTTATGGGCTAAGCTGTGACTCAAGGACATCGGTAAAACTGGTACTGTCCCCCGTTTTTCCTTCACAGAGCAGTCACTGCTCTTTAGATGGGTTGGCCCATGGCAAGCATGGCAGAGATTAAAGTCCCAGAGCAACAGGGCTAAGTGGTAGGGTGGTGGTGTCCTTAATTTCTGCAGGGCTCTGGGTTTGTTCTCTACACCAGGGGCAAAATAATAGCCCCAGAGCAAGATCTGGCTGAAATGAAATGGAGCACGGACTAAGGGCACTGGGCCAAGCCTCCCAGGCAGTGATTTTAAAGTTCCTCTTGGTGCCTGAGGTCTTTTACTGTCAATACAAATGGCGGGAAAAATGACTTCATTCTGCATGGGATAAAGCATTTGGTGACAGAAAAGAAAGGCAGAGAGTCTGGGAAAGTGTGAATGGAGCTGTTTTTTATTGATGTGGAAGTGGACTTCTCAGTGAAATCCCCTTGGGTTTGAGACCATGTTCCTGCTTCCTTTCTTCCTCCAACTGCTGCTGCCTGAGCTTCCATGCCTGTAATCCAGCATCCATTTCCTGTGTCAGCAGTACAACTCGTCTCTGAAACGGCAGGAAAAGAATAAGTAACATCTGGGGCTCAAGCGGACCGGACCTTTGAGCAGATATCCTTTCTCTCCAGAAGTCAAAGGATTTCAGCTGGATATTGATGTTGCTGACTGGCATCAGACCAGCAATTTGCCTGACAGAAGGGAATGTCTTATTGGTTTCTGCCACAAGCCCCCTACTCCAGTCACCCCTTCTCACAGTGCCATTAAAACATTTGGCTTGGGCAGGTAGGATGGTCCATCCTTTAATCCTAGCACTAGGGAGAAAAAGGCAGGCCCATCTCTTGTGAGTTCGAGATGGGTCAGCCTGGTCTATATATCGTGCCTAAATGAATAAATAAGTAAGTTATCGACTGTCAGGACTGGAGATGTGGCTGCTGGTGGTACACTTGTCTAGCGCCCAGGAAGCCCTGGGTTTCCTCCCAAGTACTGCCAAACAGTAGCTCAGGCACACCACAACCTAGAACAAATTATATTATAGTAACTGAGATGGCTCAGTGGTGAAGAGTACTTTCTGCTTTTACATGGGACCCAGATTCAACTCCCAGCACCCACATGGCAGCTCCCAACCATCTGTAATTTCCATTTCAGGGGAATCTGACACCCTCCTCTGACCTCTGCAGGCACCAGGCACACATGTGGTGAACACACATTCATAGAGGCAAAACACATACATATAAGAGTCAATCTTAAAGAAAACAAGGATAAATGATGATCTAAATTTTCCTCCTCCAATTATAAACAATGCAGGCCTTGCTGCAGTTCCAGCTACTCACTGCAAGCTTCTCCCTTTGAGCTTTTCTTCGAAGTTGGCCTTTCATTGGGGGAGCAGGACGGCCATCTACAGACAGAGGAGAGAAAAGGCAAGTGGCAAATGTGGTCTGGCCATCTTCTCCAAATACTATGATGTGACAGGAACTATAGAAGAGTCAATCTCTAGCTCCCCCCTTCCAGTTCACACCTGCCAGGGCTGGGGTGGGGGCTAGCATGTAAGGCCCAGGTTCAAGTCCCAGCACTGGCCATCAAAAATAATACCGAAGAGGAAACCAGTTCACAACCACTCTAGCTTAGCTTTTGTAAAATTCATCTAGCATCTTCAATAGTGAGGTACAACACAGCCATGAAAATGAGTTCCAAGGCGTGTTCCTATTATTTCATTTAGTCATGTGATTAGCATGGAATTAGGGTCATCTACAACGCTGAATTCATTGCTTTTGTTTGTTTTGCTTTTTGAATTTTTGAGACATGGTTTCTCTGTGTAGCTTTGGAGCCTGTCCTGGAACTTGCTCTGTAGACCAGGCTGGCCTTGACCTCACAAAGACCCGCCTGCCTCTGCCTTCAGAGTGCTGGGATTAAGGGCATGCGCCACCACCATCTGGCTCACTTTTGATGCAAGGTCTCACTCCCTGGACAGCCAAGGCTGTTCCTTAGCTCTCAATCCTTCTGCTTCTGCCTTCTGACTACAGGCATGTGTCATTACTCTTTCCTCATTTTATGTTTAAAAAAAAAAGTTTTATTTTTATGTGAGTGAGTGTTTTGCTTGCACCATGTGGGTGCCTGGTGCAGGTGGAAGTGAGAGGGACTGACACCAGATTTCCTGGAACTGGAGTTACAAGGAGTCGTGAGCCACCATGTGGGGGTTAGGAATAGAACCCAGTTCCTCTTGAAGAACAGTCAGTGCCTCTGAGGCGTCTTTTCCAGCACATAACCATTTTTTTTTTTTTAAAAAAAAGAGAAAAGACTTCTGGATTGAGTCTGCCATCTTCAGTCTGGTAGCGATCTTTGGCGTTCTTTTCAGCATCTTTCCAAATAATTCCTTGTGTATGTGGAGTCAAATTCTAAAAATGCATTTACCACACATGTCCCCTTCTGCAAAGAGCTACGCACCCTTCCAGCCCCTGGACAGCCTAAATTAGAATTATATCTATAAGTCATGATCCCCTACTCACCTTCCTTAGCCAACTTACTATTCATTCATTTATTTATACACGGGACCTTACTCTGTAGCTCAGGATAATCTGGGACTCACTCAGAGGCACATACTTGCATTGACCTCACAGTGATCCCTCTGCCTCAGCTCCCAAAAGCTAAGATTTCAGGTGTGAACTGCCACACCCAGCTCTGTAGTCAGACAAAATTAGAGTTCCTTTCTTCAAACTCTTGCCTAAGTAAAAGGTTTGATATTTTCCCAGACACGCCCCCAATCCCTACCAGGGGTGGTCTCCTGGAGGAAAAGGAAAAAACCTGACATCAAGGCTCACCGGCGAAAGACCAGTCAGGAAGCTCCGTGAGGGGCCCATAGCCGGAAGGGTTGGCAGCCAGTCCCTGTCTGGGTGGGGAAACACAGGGGGTGAGGGCTCGGCCGGCTTCCAGGTCCCGTCGCGCCCCCGCCCGGCACTCACTGAAGTCGCCACTGGCCGCCGGCCCGAGCCGCTGCGCTGCAGTGCAACCTCCGGACACCTACTGCAAGAGCCGGGAGTTAGAGGGCAGCCCGCCCCCGGGACCCCGGGTCCCCAACCCCACAGTCACTCACAGGACAGCCAAGACCCCAACGCAGCCATGCCGTGGCAAAGGGACCGGATGTGGGCGTGGCCCCGATGGCCACGCGCGACGCTGCGGGGCAAACCGGAAGCCGACATCTTGAATGTGGTTTTCAATCGCGGGCCCCGCCATCTTGGCTCAGCGTACGGAAGTCGGGGCCAGTTGCGGGCTGCGCGTTTTGGGCAGGAGGACCTATCCCGCGCGTGCATCCAGGCTTTGGAATTTTGGGATAATTCAGAAGAGTAGCCTCCAGCGAACCTCTTTGTGCAGCACTCTGCATGGTTTTTAACACTGGTTTTCGGATCAAGACATGATCAAGTATAGAACGAACCAGAAAAATTTATTTCTCATCCAACCAAACCGAAGAAGTAGTGAGTGGGTTTAGGAAATTGCAAGGGTAGCTAAACCAGTTTATCAGTTAGAGCGTTGGATCTAGAGAAGACATATGGTCACAGACATGACTAATACTACAGCCGAGTGCTGGGAAGGAAAAGTGCATGTTATTTGTGAGAACATTTATGGGAATAGGACGCAGAGGACACTGTTAGGAAGTTGTACTGGTGTTAATTTTTTTTTTTTTTGAGAGTTAACCTATGTAACTGTTCCTTTCTTGGAACTTAGTATGTAGACCTGGCGTTGAATTCTGCCTCCAGAATGCTAGGATATAAGACTGCAGCTCTGGTCCACCCCCTCCCCCTCGCGAGACAGGTTTCTCTGTGTAGCTCCGACTGTCCTGGAATTGGCTGTATAGACCTGCCTCACCCTCCTGAGTGCAGGGGAATTAAGGGCATGTGCCATCAACATCTGTCTCTGGTTCCTGTTTGTTTGTTTAGAGACAGGGTTTTTCTGTGTAGTTTTGGAGCTTGTCCTGGAACTCGCTCTGTAGTCCAGGCCGACTTTGAACTCACAGAGATCTGCCTGCTTTTGCTTCCTGAGTGTTGGGATTAAAGGTTTGTGCCACCATCACCCAGCTTCTGATTCCTCTTTTTAAAAAGTGTACAAAATACATTCTCATGAGTTAAGTATACTTTGAGAGGTTCCAACCTGAAAACTGGGCTCTGAAGTGCTCCAAAATCAAACTTGTTGAATCCAAATAGCTTGCTACAATGGAAAATTCCACACCTGGTGTTATGAAGAAACTTTAGTCAAAAACCAGGTGTGCTAAGGGCTAGTAATGGTGCTGGTGATGGAGTACTTGTCTAGTGTGCTTAGACTTTGGGTTCATTCCCCACATACACAAAAATAACATGGTTGTAACTGGACAACAGTGGCTAACGCTCTTAGTTCAAGTCCAACCTGGTGCCTACAAAGTGAGTTCAAAGACAGCCAGGGCTGTTACACAGAGAAACCCCTTCTCGAAAAACCAAAAGCTTGGCAGCTTAAAACAAGGGCATTGGGCCTGGAGAGATGATGGCTCAGTGGTTAAGGGCACTGGCTGCTCATCTAGAGGACTTGGGCTCGATTCTCAGCACCCACATGGTAGCTCAAAGCTGTCCGTAACCCCAAGATCTGACACCCTCCCACAGACATACATGCAGGGAAAAGGCCAAAGCACACAAAACAAAAAACAAAAACCCAAGGGCCTTATGGCCTTTTTTTCCTGCTAGCAGGCCTGATGGACTGGCTCTATCAATTCAAGGCTAGATAAGGACACGCTATAAAGCAGTTGTGGGTCAGTTATCCATCCTGTCTTCAAACTGACCAACCCTAAATTAGGGGAGGAAAATTCTTCAGAGAATTAAAAACAAAACAAACAAAAACCCAGACCTGGCGAAGACACTGGATTTTTTGTCTTTCTGAGTCCCCCCATTCTACTTTGCATAGGGTCTCTTCCCTCTGTGTGTCTGACGCTTGTGTTTCTTCACCCCAATAAAAGCCCATCTTTAACTGCTGATTCTGTCTGTGTCTGTTTACTACAGTGGAGATTTCTCTGCTGCTACCTGTTGCATTTGAGATTTTTCTGAGTTTTCAGAGTTTTAATTCCGTAACTGGCAGTGGAAATGAAGCTGATTAAGATCCCTTGATGCCTAGCCAGGAATAAAGGTGGCATACACCTTTATTCCCAGCATTTGGGAGACAGAGGTAGGAAGATGAGTTCAAAGCCAGCCTGGTTTACAGAACAAGTTCCAGGACAGCCAGGAATACACTGAGAAACCGTCTTTAAAAGCCCAAAACCGGGAGCTAGTGAGATGGTCCAGGTGTTAAGAGCACTGGCTGCTCTTCCACAGGTCCTGAGTTCAATTTCCAGCAACCACATGGTAGCTCACAACCATCTGTAATGGGATCTAATGCCCTCTTCTGGCATGCAGGTATATATGGCAGAACACTTACCCATTAAAAAAAAAAGACATCCTAGGTGTTAACAATACCAAGCATTTCAAATAAAGGATCCTTAACCTTTAAAGCTAGCTCTGCCCACCACCGCTTTTGAGATGGGGTTTTGCTATGTAGCTCTGGATGACACAGTACCTGCTAGGTAGCCCTAGCTGTTTCAGTATCACCCCTCAGAATACCGGGATTACGAGTTTTGAATTACCATACCTGGTTTCATTTATTTTCTTTTGATATTTATTTATTTCAGCCTTTGAAGAAGTCATTTTCCCTTCTTTTCCCCCCTCTCTCTCTTCTTCCCTCCCTCATTCCTAGCCTCTCCCACTTCCATTTTGAGCCTTGCTATGTAACCCAGACTGATTTAGAACTCTTGAGCTCAGGGTGATCGTGTAAGTCAAAGTCCCTTATGGTAAAGCTACAAATGTACCCATTAGTGGGTTACAGATACAAACACGTGCTGGCAAGGACAAGAACATAAGAGAGTGGTAGAACGGTCTATTTTCAAGCTTCCGTTTCCTTCTGTAAGACTGGGAGATTTTTGTACTGGAGATGTTTCTGAGTTGTACTTTGAAAGAAGGGAAAGGTGGATCCCGGTTTAAGAAGTAAAAATCTGATAACAAGAATGATGAAGGATGGGACTGAACTAAAAAGAGGGGATGCGAACAAAAGAACGTTAACTAGATGTCCCAGACTGCTACCCTGCCTCAAGCAAAACAAAATAAAGCAATAGAGAGTTGGGTGTGGTGACAGAGCATGCACGGGGGGGGGGGGGGCAAATAAGAGAAGGGGTTCAAGGCCAGCCTGTGGTAATGGAAAAATCAAAACACTACACAAAGTTAGCAAAATAAGGCACAGACACAGACTACTACTCTACTATTGCTCCATGATCTTTTTTTAAAAATTTTATTTGGAGTGGGATGGAGTCTGTGAAGCCCAGGCTGGTTTGGAGCCCACTGTGTAGTACATGTTGACTTCAGCATTGCAGTGACAGTCTAGCTCGACGTCCTCCTGAATGCTGAGATTCCATGTGAGACCACCATACCTGACCCCAGCCTTTATTTCACTTTGAAATTTGTGACAGAGTCTCACTTAGTTTGCTCAAACTGGCCTTGAGCTTAGTATCTCAAGGTGGCCTGCCTCCGTCTCCCAAATATAAATAGGATTAGAGACCTGGCTTCAGTGTATATTCATATAAGTTTGTCTTTCTTTTTCTTTTTCTTTTTTTTTTTTAATACAAGAGCAACAAGAGTTGGGAATCTCAGCAATATTGAAAGGAGATTCCAGGACAATTTTTTTTAAATATTTATTTATTTATTATGTATACAATATCCTGTCTGTGTGTATGTCTGCAGGCCAGAAGAGGGCACCAGACCTCATTATAGATGGTTGTGAGCCACCATGTGGTTGCCGGGAATTGAACTCAGAACCTTTGGAAGAGCAGGCAATGCTCTTAACCACTGAGCCATCTCTCCAGCCCCCTTTCTTTTTCTTTTGTAGTTCATGTTTTGAACATGCTAGGTATGAACTCTACCTGTTAGCTCCATACACCTATTTTTCTTTATTTTCGTTTTAAAAATAATTTATTTACATTTACTTTATGTGTATTGGTGTGAAGGTGTCAGATTCCCTGGAACTGGACTTACAGACAGTTGTGGGCTGCCATGTGGGTGCTAGGAATTGAACCTGGGTCCCTAGGAGACCAGCCATTGTTCTTAACCACCGAGCCATGTCCCCAGCCCCTCTTTTCTTTCTTTTTAAAAGATTTATTTTATGTATATGGATATTTTGCCTATATGTATGTATGTATACCATATGTATGTCTAGTGCCCAGGGGAACCAGAAGAAGTCATAGTATCCCTTGGAATTGTAGTTCCAGAACATGACAGTCATTGTGTGTGTCTATGTGGTGGTTTAAATGGAAATGGCCCCCGTAGGTTCACAGAGAGTGGCACTATTAGGAGGTATGACTTTGTTGGAGTAGGTGTGGTCTTGTTGGAGGAAATGTGACATTTGTTGGAGAAGGGGCAGAAAGCTCAAACCAGGCCTAGTGACTCACTGGCGCGTCCTGTTGCCTGTGATTCCAGATGTAGAACTCAGCTACCTCTCCAGCACCATGACTGCCTGCATGCTACCCTGCTTCCTGTCATGACAATAATGGACTGAACCTTGGAACTGCAAGTCAGTCCCAATTAAATGTTTTCCTTTATAAGAGTTGCTGTGGTCATGGTGTCTCTTCATAGCAACAGAATACTAAGACAGGGTGCTAGGAACGGAACAAACTTCTTCTACAGAAGAGCAGCCAGCACTCTTGACCATTGAGTTGTTTCTCCAGCCCCTTCCATACCCTTACTTTTCAAAACTACTTCTACCGCTCTTGCAAAGAACCTGAGTTTGAGTCTCTGAAGCCATATCAGGCACCTCAGAATTATCTGTAACTCCTGCTTCAGGGGTTCTGGCCCATGTAGCATGCACTCAAATGCACACACCCACCCACACCCACCCACCCACATACAGACAGACACACACACATACACATAATTAAAAATAATAAAAATAAATCTTTCAGATCACTTCTACATAAGTACTTTTATATGTTTTCCTCACTGACATATGTTTTTCCCACAAAGGAGATTGATTAGACAGTGCTGGAGCAACCATCACACAATTTTTCTTGATGTTTTCAAGGCCCAGGAGATCGATGGAAATGTGACTGTTGGGATTGTAGCCCACTAGGAGTGTGTGCACTTGCCATATGTGAGGCCCTAGCAACACACAC